AGGAAATACACTGTGATGAGAGAATCCATTCCTAACACCTTTTCCCATTGCAAATTAAGCCTTTGGAGTGTGTAATAATCAATATAAATATGCATGCTTCTAGACCTCTATCAATATGTGTATGTTAGTTTGGCTTCATTAGGTGAAAATGCCACCATCGTTGCTACTACAGTCCAAGAACATTAATGTTTTAACAAAATAGATTGTTCTTTTAATATGACTATTAAAATAATGGTAATCATAACTTGAAGTTCAAGAACTGTGCATAGTGGAACACTAACTGGATTATCAGCATTTATGAGGATACTTGATAATGACATTGCATGCATGCATCATGTGTAATACGGGACATGCTTTATGTGGGATTCAGGGATTGAGTAAACTTGGGTTGCCAGGCTTGCATGATAAGTGCCTGTCCTACCGAGACAGCCCACTTTTTATTGTTTGCAGGTTAACAGGTTGTTTTACCCATGATCTGCCTGCATCACTATTTTTAAGTGAGTTTGTTACAGACAAAAATAAGTGAATTGTTTTTTCAGAAATACATTGTAGAAATCTCTTTTTCCTTGTCTTTGAATTATTGAGCTTTTTTTTTTTTTAACGTGAGGGCTGAAACAACCGTTCAACTGTTAAAAGCACTGGATGCTCTTCCAGAAGACTGGGGTTCCATCCTTAGCACCCACAGTGCAGCTACTACCCATCTTTAACTCCAGTCCCAGGGGATCCGAGGCTCGCTTCTGTCCTCCAGGGACACTGCATGTATGTGGTGCACAGACACAAATGCAGGCAAAACAGTTATATACACAAAATAATAAAATGCAATATTTTCAATTATGTATATGTTTATATTCTGTGAATTTAGTATGCCGCATGCATGCATACAATGGAGGCCAGAAGAGAGCCCTGGAACTGTAGTTAAAGACAGCTGTGAGTCCCAAAGTAACCCAGGTCCTTTGCAAGAGTAGTGGGGACTCTTAACCACTAAGACATCTCTCCAGCCCCACGTTATCTACAATAGAATCATATCATTATATATATATAAATGTATCTGCCTTTTAAACTTTATATATCATGTCTATTTTCTATTTGGGAGTTTGCTTGCTTGCTTGCTTGGCTCTTTTTTCTTTTTTTAATCTGCCTTTCTTGAATGAACTATACATATTTTAGAATTTCAGTTTTGCTTACTTTTAATACTTTTCAGCCATCTCTTTGCATAAAATTTTTAGTGTGTGCTTTCAGAAATACATTAGATGTAAAGAATTTAGTGGTATCTTCTAACATCATAGCACCAGCTTTAGTGAAATATATTATCTATTTTCTCTGTAAATTCACCTATCCATAAAATATCATAAATATCCCTGTATATACACTGAGATTATAATTATGTTAGAAAATGTCCTTCAAGAGGTCTTATAGGGAAGAAGAAGAAGAGAACCAGGAAATAGGAGACAAGAGAGTACAATAGGGCTCAATATGATCAAAGTATACCACATACATATGTGAAATGTTATTGGAAGTTTTTAGGCATTACTATATAAAAATAAAATATGAAATAAAATAAAGTTCCTTCAATCACCAAGCATAATTAAGAAAACTCAAAATAAAAAGTAAAGTCAACTCTATCATGTTTTTGCTTACGATGTCTGTGTGTTTTCTCCTCTATGTTAAGTACTTTCCTTCACAGCCCATCTGAGGCCAGCTCCAGCAGGCGAGAGCATCTTCAGTTTTCAGGCATAAAATCACCCCTGCACACAGCATTCTACACTAGCAGGTCTTTGCTGTCAGCACTTGAAAATGTTGTACCTCTTTCTACTAGGACCTTGATTTTTCTGTCGAGGAATTTGTCATTCTAATTTCCCCCCTCAGAGGGATAATTAGGGGGTTAGTTCTTATCACCTGCCTAGCTTTCAAGATTCTCTTTTCTTTTCCTTCTTTTCCTGAAGGCTGATTGTAATATGCCTTGGAGAAGATTTCTTTTTGTTGAATCTATTAGTATTTGATTCGTTTTTTTTTTTAATCTGGAGGTGGTTTGACACTATTAGTCCTTATTTCTCAAACTATTTCTTCATTCTGTCCTGTGTCTCTACTGTGAGAATTTTTAGAGTTTAGTAATAATCTCACTGTGGTTTCTCTTGCTTTAGGTTTAAGCTGACTCTTTTTGTTCTGTCTGCCCCATCTTACTGTTGAACCTATCTGTTGAATTTGTAGCTTGTTAACAATCCCCCTGAGCATCTTCCTCATGGCTTTTGTTGTTCTTGCTGTCGGACATTGTCTATTTGCTTTGATTTTGTATTTTCTTTTCTAGCTTAAGGGAGCGTTTATTTGGGCTCATGGCTTCAGAAGCGAAGTCCATAATGGCAGGAGAGAGATGGCAGCAGGTGGCAAGAGCAGCACCACGAACTGGAAACCAGACCTGCTGGTGACATTCTCATTCAAACCAATGCTTTGTACTTCCTGGCTCTTACAGATGCACGACAATAACATAATGCGGACTGGCGTGTATTCCAACTCCAAAAGTCTCTGGAGTCTTTAACATTTTCAACACTGTTTAAAAGTCCGGAGTTTCTCTGCATTCCAATTTTTGTACGTTTATAGGCTCCCAGTGTGCTGTATTGCTTAATGAAGCATTTTCATGATGGACATTTTAAAACTATTGTTAGATGAATCTGTGGTTATCAATATTAGAATCTGTGTGTTTTCTCATTCAAGTAGATTTATTGGTATGGTGAGAATTTTTCAATAAAAGTTGAATATTCTGGATCTGACTTTAATCTTTTGTCTTAGTAGGCCTCCTGATACTCTCAACAGAAATCCAGTTTTTACACCGGGTCTTTCTTGACAATCAAGGGGTATGACCATGCTACTAGAGAGGAACTTCAGCCTTCTCTCTAAATCTCTCCTGCTACTATCTAACATGGTTGAGGAATCGAAATCGTGGCTCTTAACTTGGAGTCCACAGAAAGGGACCTATGTTTACTAGAGATTGATGGCCTTGATCCCAAATAGTCCATTTCTGCAGAAAAGATAAGCTCATTTTACATATATATGTATTATATGTATGTATGTTTATGTATCTATGTACACACACACACACACACACACATTGTTTTTTTCGAGGCAGGGTTTCTCTGTGTAGCCCTGGCTATCCTGGAACTCACTCTGTACATCAGGTTGGCCTCGAACTCAGAAATCTGCTTGCTTCTCTGGCAAGTACTGGGATTATTAAAGGTGTGCACCACTACTGCCCAGCTAAGACAAATTTATCTTACAGTCCATAAAGAGTATAAAACTGAAGTTAGAGGCTTTCTCCTCAAAGGCCTAAGCTTTTCACTAGCTTCACCCTTAGCATTCTCCTGCACCTAGGAGTCTCATTTCCTACCTCCTGACACTTTTGTTGGAAAAGACAGAAGCAACCCTTCAGTGGGAAATAGTCAGAAGAACAGAGTCTTTGTAGGCAGACTCCATTCCTGTCCAACTGTGGCATTGTTAAGCTTCGTGACTATGAGAACTCACTCAGATTCTCCAAGCCTTTATTTTTCCACTTATGACAAAGGTCACAGCAAAGGCACTTGCAGAAATGTTGGGGGAGGGGGCGCACTGGCATAGCAGGGGCTCAATAAATGATAGTTTTCCTTGCTTTGCAAAAGGAAAGATATAATCCCTCCAATAGGAAGGTGAAACCAAGGTTCTTCACTCCCATTACTATGTGGAGATCCCATACATAAACCACAGAGGTGAAATCTCTTGTCAAATTTGTCAAGGTTAAATCTCATGACCCAATTTCTTAAAAAGATATCCCCTATGTGTCTTTTTTCTTTTTTCGTTCTCCATATATCTGAAAAACTCTCCACATGCAGGTACTTAGGCAGCGCAGGGGTGGCCCACACTGCCAGCCCTTCAGGTACTACTGTTTTGGAGGCAGGAATCTCACTGAAATATGGAAACTTGCTTGCAGAGTAGCCTGCTGGAGGGGTGACACTTCCCAGTTTGGCAGACCTCCCCCTCTTGTTCACACACCCATAGTTTGCAACCTCCTTCCAACGTCAGGATAGGAAAAAAAGTGCTGAAAGAGTTTCAGGGAGACAAGAGCAGTGCCCCCCCCACCCCCCCCCCCCCCCCAGGCTCATCTGCATCCCCAGCTACAGCCACAGCAAAGTTGCAAACGGAATGGGCAGGCCAGCTAAACTTGGCTCTCGAAAGGCTTTTCCCAAGCTCTGGATCATGAAGCTGAACAGAAAATCATCAACTTTTATAAAGCAAAAAGCGAAAAGCGACTTGTACTAAACAAGTATTTTTTTTTTTTTTTAATGTGTCTGTGAATGCTAGCTCTCGTCTCCATGCCAAAAAGGAATACAGCTGTCTGGTGACAAGCTCCTGGTGTCTCCCTCTATTCTATATCAGCCACATCTGGAAAGGCATCACCATTTCCCCTCCTTCTCTACACACACGCACACACACACACACACACACACACACACACACACACACTTCCACCAACTACCTCCTCTAGGCTCGACTTCAAATTACCCTTTCCCCCTCATTCTTCACCTCATCTGTAAGTCTGTGATGAATGGGCCTCTTTCCCGCCCCTCTTTGCAAGTAGCCCAACAATAGATAGTTTCCACAGAAAAACAGTTCTCTTTGCTCCCAAGGATGCCGGGGAAGGGAGGCGGGATCGAGGAGGGTGGATGCTGCATTAAGTAGCGAAGGGCTTACCTGATCTCTTTAATGCTTTCCAATTTGCACATGATTTCTTGTTCATCTGCCATGCTTTTCACTCTCAATTTCACGTCCAGAGAACTGTAAAAATGCACCAGCCAAGGGATACAATAGATACAATACAGCCACCTCCTACTGGTTTGTGGCTTTGAGCCTGTGTGGTAGGGGCTTAGGAAGGCCTGGGAGCTGTAGTCCGCAGTTCCAGGGCTGACTAGGCAGCCCGGGTGCCATTAGAACTACAACTCCCAGAAGGCCAAGCGAAGCATTCCTGTTCCCTTTCCTGTAGCGGCACTTTAAATCAATATGTCACAGATAATTATGTCAAGATTATGAGGCGTGCAAGGGAATGAAGATGTTTGTCCTGCCAGTGTGCGGCAAAATAGGGGAAATCTCGAAAGCAACTGGGAAGATGAGAAAACATACCTTTTATCACCGGCCTCGGGCCTCATGCCTACACACCCCAATAGGTTAAGGAATCTTTTATAACGAAATACCTTGGACTGGAGAGAAACTGTGAGTGATTTAGATTTCAAAATGCCAAGTCTTCTAGCTGCTTAGGTATTAACATTGAGATGTAAATAGAGTGCTGCTCAAAATACGGGGGCGGGGGAAAAAGGAGGATAAGAGAAAGGGGACTCTTCAAAAAACAGGAAACTGGGCTTGTGGGGAGGACCTCTGTCCTTGTTCCACATCCACTGAACTACTACTGTTCACCAGTTTATCGTTTACCAGTCAATGAAAGGTGTGCTGAGGGAGGCACTGAAGCGTCGAAAAGGAAGTTCTTGCCTTTGAGAAAAAGAGATTGAAACATAATGTTTTAAACAGTGTACAATGAGATGTCACAATGCAGAGATGCATAGGTGAAACCTGAACAGATAAGGTGTAAATATGTTTTTAATAATAAGTGTTTTCTAGAGAAGAGTGAGAGTTCCAGGAAGCAATAGCCTATAGAGAAAATGCAAAGGGAAAATGGTCCAGGGAGCCTGGAGTATAGCGTTCTTGGAGAAATCCAGGAGAAAAGGAAGTGGAAGACATGTCTAGAAAAGGTAGGTAGAAAAATTGTAGACACATTTTCTTAAATATATTTTTAATTTTTTTCTTTGGCTATTTTATATGTGTTATACAATGTATTTGGGTAAATCCACTCCCCAGTTGCTAACCTCACACCCATCCCGGAACCATCTCCCTCCTAAATTCGTGTATTCTTTTTAAAGCCATCAGTTCGTGCTGGCAGCATGTGCATGGGTAAAGGGCCATCCGCTGGAGAATGGGCAACCAGCCAGGGGCAGCATCTCTGAAGAAACCTGGAGCTCCTTCCCCAGCAGCTAGACTTTGAAATACCTTGGAATGTCAGACCAGAGTTTGGAATTAATCCTATAGGAACACATTTATTAAGTACGCATTTATTACGTGTTTACTATATGCCAGAGAGTGTAGAATTATATTTAGACTCTATATCATTTTTTGGTGCTGGAATTTTAACCCAGAGCCTTATGCATTCTTAGTATGCAGTCCACGACTAAGCCATACCCATAACTCCAAAATAGAATAATTTAAAAGCACTGGAGTGATTAAACTGGAGGTAGCAGTGAAAGTAAAATGTAGAACTAAAGAAAATGAGAGCTGGCAAGAGGGCGTTAGTTATCCGAAGAAGATGAATAGGCATGGAAACCAGGAGAAAGGGGTGTCACAGGTGAGCTAACAGACTCACCTGCACACTGTCCCTCTCATCGAACTGTTGAAATACCCTAATCTTTGAGGAACCCAGACCCATATCAAACTGGGATTCATGGCTTCCACAGAAAGTGTAATTTTGGGGAGCAGAATTAGAGATTTAATTAAAGATATTGTGGTAATTTGAATAGGAATGAACTCCACAGGCACAAAGTTTGAACGTTTGGTCATTAGGGGATTAGGAGGTGTGGCCTTGTTGAGGAAGTGTGATACTGGGGTTAGGTTTTAGAGCTTCAAATGCTCAAGCCATGCCCATTCTCTCTCTCTCTCTCTCTCTCTCTCTCTCTCTCTCTCTCTCTCTCTCT